TACGTAAGGGTAAATCTACTGGGGTAGGCTAAAAAAATAAATGGAAAATAATGCAGTGTCTCTGTGAAAATAAAGACATACTGTGTGTGTGTGTGTGTGTGTGTGTGTGTGTGTGTGTNGGCTTTGGGTTTATCAGCTGTTGATGCAAAACATAAAAATAAGTAAATATTAAAATTATTGCTACAATCTCATCTTAATATGGCAACATACAGTTCTATATGTTGCTATAAATCACATGTTGAGTTACTAGAACCAAACACTAATAATGAATCTTAAACAAAACTGACAGGTCAGATTTACCATCAAGCCATTAAACCATAATTAGAAAATAAATGACATTTTACTATTATGTAAAATTGATAACAAAACTTCAAAACAGGACTGATAACTACAATTCAGGCCCTGTCAGATTATTTCTAAATATAAATTATTTATCAACCAGGAGGTTCAGACTGAACGACTCAGGAAGAGTTTTTAAAATCAGACTGAAAGAACTCAAGAAAATCACAGAAACAGTCAGAATCTGATCAGGTGTTAATCATATTGTTTCTTACTGTGGATCACTGCATTTATTTATTTATTTATTTATTTATTTATTTATTTATTTATTTATTTAGTCTTTACTACCAAGATGGTAATAAGCAAATTAACAGAAAGTCTTGCTGCTCAGCATCAAAGAAGGACTGGATTGATTTTTTTTTCACAGACAATAAGAACTGATTTGTTTTATGTCAATAAGAACATAAAATAAATCAGTTCTTATCGTCACAAAATAAGATAAGTTCTTATTTTATGACAATAAGAACTTATCTTATTTCATGTCAAATCATATTTGACATGAATTACACAAGCAAAACTTTATAATATGAAGAATATAGCATTAAGAAAACTACAAGAGAAACGTGCAGCTGATTGGGGCAATAATGACTTTAGTTTGTCTTAGAAGATAATCAATAAATCATCTTATATAATTATTATATATAATAAACAACATGAAACATTTTAATGTTCAATAAAAAGTCTTCAGTTGGACATTGTAAATAATCATTCTATGTTTATAACAGATGATCTACTTACTGACAGTCAATGAGAGATCATCACTCCACTGTGTGAACTGATAGTTTCCTCTTCCTCTGCACCTGAATCTGTCACCATTTCTAGCTGAGATCTCCTTGTATTCATCAAATGATGGAGAGTTTCTGTCATTTATTTCCCATTCATACATCCACTGAGATCCTCCTCCTCTGATCTCACATCTCAGAGTGACCGTCTCTCCACTGAATATCGGAGGCCAGTTGTGTTTCCAGGTTATTGTGGGTTTAATGGAAACTGTTGACATAAAGAATCTCTGGTTAGAAATGTAACAATAATAAAGTCAGAAGTAAATCATTTGATCTTTTTCAGGAGGGAATCATTCACTGAATTCAAAGATCAAATTTATATAAGAAAAAAATATTTAAATGGAATAAATTAGGGTATTAAATAAAATTATTAATACAAATGTGTCTTCTAAACATATAGAAGTAATATTTATTGTAAAACATGGCAGAAATAATAATACCACCTTCAGTTTAAAAACTTTTAAACTTAATAAATAGATTTCATAGCAGGTTGATGTGAGATTTAAATAATAAATACATGCAATAAAATCTTGTGTAACATCATTAGGTAAAACAAAATTACACTTTACATTCCAAAAATGAAATGCTTTTATAAACATATTTACAAGTTCAAGATAATTTGTTTGTTTCATTGATGAACAGAAACTAAACTCACCAGTTTTCCATATGGTGACCTCTCTGCTGGTTTCAGTGTAGAAAACTGGATCTCCTCTTCCTCCTCTTCCTCCTCTGCAGCTGTAAACACCTTCATCTGAGATGATGAAGACTCCATCTGGTTCACTGATTTCTATTGGCTGATCTGGATCCTGTCTGAACCAGTAAATCCTCCAACCATCACCGATGTCCACAGAGCATCTCAGTGTTACACTGCCCCCTGCTGGTATGATCGTTTGTCTTTCTGTCATTGTGGCTCTGGCTTTATTAGTTGCTGATCGAGGAAAAGACAAAGATCAATACAACTATTGACTCATTTATCTGTCAAATGTTATTATACAGCAGTACATGTGGTTGTTATGGATTCACATATTTATTGAAATTTAACACTAAAATAATCTTTTCTCATAAACATGAAGTTTGTTGACATTAGAGCATCTTCTGTTGATCAACATATTAATTAATTGATAAATTACAGAAATCATAATAATCTGACTGTGATTGAATCAAATCATGTTGTATCAAATCCCAGTCAGAGCTGAGCTGAACCAAACTACTGAACCAGAACATCTTCTAATGTTCTGCTGCAGTCAGGAGAACTGGGCTGGAAATCAGCTCTACTGCACAAATCACTTCTCAGTCCTTCAACAAGGAAAGCTCTGCTGACAACTAAAGGTTGAACTATTTTTAGTCTAGTGGTGATTTTTCTAAACATTCAATCAGATGAATTGAACTCAGAGGAACCACAGTGGCCTCCTGTAAAACTGCAGCAGGACCAGAGAATCACAATCTGCCTCCTATCAGCTTTTATTGACTCATTGGAGGATGGAGGGATTTTATATGAGAGACATTTTACTAAAATAGAGACAGTATTGTGGAGAATTCACTGTTTATAAATCAAGTGTCTCCACTCTTCTTTCCGATTGCTCCTGTCCTTTTTCTCAAGAAAACCTCAACTTTCTGTCTCAGCCTGTTAGTCAGTATTTAAATGTGAAATCTAGTCTCTAGTGACAGGATGAAAATAAGCAGGTTAACAGAAAGTCTGGCTGCCCAGCATTAAATAATAACAGATTACTTACAAACAGGTAATGAGTAAAAATCACTCCATTGTGTTGATCCGTAGTTATTTGTTCCTCTGCAGTTGAATCTTCTACTGTCAGCTGTTATTGGTATGGATTCACTGAATGCTCGGTAGACTTGGTCATTTATTCTCCATTCATACGTCCACTCAGTTCCTCCTCCTCTGATCTCACATGTCAGAGTGACCGTCTCTCCTCTGAATATCTCAGACCAGTTGTGTCTCCAGATCACAGTGGGTTTAATGGAAGCTGTTCACATAAAGAATCTCTGGTTAGAAATGTAACATATAAAACTTTTCCTGCCATGTCAAATAAACATTTATTGTGTCCAAGGGTAAATATGACGAAACAGAAATTAAGTTCATTTTGAAAGACAAAAAGTAATCACAGCTGATACAGAAATAAAAAGAATATAATCATTCAAACATCTTTAAACATAAAAATGTATATTTTGCTGCATGAAGTTTGTATCTGAGGTCAGTGTAGCTGTTTCCTTTGTATCACCTGATCGAAGAATCAGTTAAAAAAATATTAAAATCTGCCAAATCATCAAATGATTGGAGTTGCAAATGTCTGTCTGTGGTCTGGAGAAACTGGAATTAATTAAATTTACACTATTAAATTCAGATAATATTCATCAGGGTGTACAGTAGTTATTTAGCTGAAATCATGATTTCCTGCACATCTTCCTGTTGCTGAACCAGGATCCTCACAGCTGAACAACAACAAACGATGGAGATACAAGAATTGATTTTTCAGTGTTGGACAAAAAATTGCAGCATGTTGCAGGTTTTTAATCTACACTGCAAAAATATAAAATCTAATCAAATATTTTCATCTAGTTTCTAGTGCAAATATCTAAAAACACTTGAAATAAGACAATAAAAACTTACAAGGAACTTCTCAGCAAATAAAACGATTCTGAACTACTGATGAAAAACTATTAGTTCCACTTGCAGATTATTTCATTTATCACAAGAGGAAAATGTGTTGAGCTTGAAAATAATAAATCAGTTCCAGCAGAAAATTATTTTTCCTGTGACTGACAGCTTTGAAACCTTCACACACACAGAAATATTGTTAAGTCCTTCATTGCAGGACGAACTGGAGAGAAAACTTGGTCCTAGAGGAAGATCCACCAACCAGATCAGACGTTTCTACATCCCTGCACTTTATCAGAGGGTTTTTCATTTTACTGCTAGAATTTTAACACAGACCACATATCTAAAGTCTTAGCATTCATATATCAAGAATGTCAATGGTATTAAATTTGATGTAATGGTTTCAACAGAGATAAAAGATTAAATTTTAAATTTAGGATTTAATTAAAAAAGTCCAAAGAATCGTCTTCATAGTTTGATTGTTGTGTTGCTATTAATAATCTTTGTGTTTAAGTTTGATTTGTTCACAGATTTCACCAAACTTATATTTAAACACTGTTAGTGATGCTGATGCTGCAGGACCAGGCCAGTGGGTTTGAAGGGTTTGTGCTTTAAGTGATGTCAGAATATTTATATCCCTGAATGGATGGATTGTTTCCAGGAATCCATCCATTTTCTTTCACCCTTATCCCATTGGGGTCAGCAGGGATGCTGGAGCCCAGCTGTCAACTGTACCGAGAGGCAGAATCACTCTGAACAGGTCGCCAGTCCATTACAGGGCAACACAGAGACACACACACACACACACACACACTCAAACCTAAAGACAATTTAAAGAGACCAATGAACCTGACAGTCATGTTTTTGGACTGTGGGAGGAAACCAGAGTACCTGGAGAGAACCCAACATTCACAGGGAGAACATGTAAAGGACTTGTAATTGCAAAGAAATTATAAAGTCTGACTGACTGATAGTGAGATTAATAAATGTCAGCGTAAAGAAAAGGGAAGTAACTTTGTCCACATCAACTTTTTGCCTTCACATCACAGACAGCAGATGGCGCTGAAGAGAGAAAATATTTCAACTTTTACAGAAAAGCACAAACCTTTCTCCTCTTTAAGTTTCCTCTCATGTGAATTTTCAGTTTTAAACACATAAACATCTAATAAACATGGTAACTTCATATGATAGTGTAAGATGCTGAGGCAGCCATTAAATACATTAGACAGTTTGATCTTGAAACCAGAAAGTTACTGACTTGTTTCCGCGTCTCTTTCCTGATTATCATCTTTATTTCCTGATTCACTCGGATCTGTTGAGATGATCAAATAGAGAGAAAAATATTCATCTACTGTTAATATTTTGTACATAAAGATCTTTATTTCAACACAAATCGATGCACTGTTTTTCAATTCGTCTAACTAGCTTTCAAATAAAACTGAAAAGTAATTATATTTAATTTAAAATGCATAACAAGTTGGTGGTTAATTATATATTTATCATAAACTGAATGAAAAACAAACAAGAAAAACTGATTCTCACCTTCAGCATTTACATAGATGAGATTACTGAGAACTGCAATGAAAAGCAGAAGCTGATCAGATATGATTAAACTCAAAACAAATATATTTAACTTTAGTGACATTTCAGGTAAAAATGCTTTGGTTTTAGAAATAAAGTCAGAGATAAAAATGTAATGCCAAAAAGATTTCATGTAAAAAGCATTTATATAACAACACCAAGACAACATGTAAAGTTAATCATAGAAAACACACATCGCTTCTTGTCAAGGTGACAGAGAAACAGATCAAACTGTGTTAAACTCTAATTCCATCTTACAGAAACATTTTGATCATTGAACATGAAGTCAGTGATGAACTTACAGAAAAATCCCAGCATGCAGAGCAGAGCGTTCTCCATCCTCACATCCAGACCTTCTGCTCATCAGAAAGGTTTCTACGTTGTTTTATCTATAAGTATGAAGACGTTACATCTGTCACACATAAATGACACCAGCATGTTTTATGCTTCTCAGTATAGCTGTGTGTTTCCTTCCCTTTTTACACAAACTTCACAGCAGCAGCAGCAGCTTTGACCGCAGCAGTTGGTGGGTTTTATTTCCTGTCCACTGAACAGACATTTCAACCTGTTTCATGAACAAAACTCTGTATGTGGTTATAAAAATACTGCGACTTTAAACAAATATTTCATATTGTAAAGAAAGGCATTGATGTGAATTTGAGGTTTTGTGAAAAGTTTTGTCTTTAAAGTTTCCAAAATAACTTTTCCGTTTTGATTCTTAAACTTCAAATTTTTTCAAAACATATTTTTTCACACCTCCTTCAAGTAACTTCCTTTCATCAGCTTTTCAGCTCAGTGATGAACAAATGACATGTCTGGTGGGTTTGCAGCTTCTGTGCTGCTAAGTGACACAGTGGGATATTATAATGTGATTAAAAGCAGCTAATGACTCATGGAACATTGAAAACCACGATATTACTGAAAATGGAGCTAAAGCTGGTGTGAATGTGTGTGTGTGTGTGTGTGTGTGTGTGTGTGTGTGTGTGTGTGTGTGTGTGTGTGTGTGTGTGTGTCTTGTTTTGTAGCTTCCTTAAAAGCTCCATCTCTTTATAGCCGCTTACACAGTTTACACAGTTCATTTTCAAAGAATATTTATGATACATGTGTGATTTTTCCATTCAGTAAGAATAGGACCTTGTCTCTTTCGTCATCGCAAATATTCTTGGTTTGGTGTTGATGCTGTCCTCAGAAATGAGGAAATAAAATATTTTAAGCTCCTTTAAATGCAGCTGTATTCAAGAGTAAATGATTGCTGATCATTTATTCATTCTATTATTTTTTAAATACACTTGAGCTTCAGACTAAAGAACCACAGGAAGATATTTAGTCCTTAAACAATGACTGAGGATGGCCTGATGGAAATTCACTCAACATGTAAGTTTATGTCAAAGGAATCATCAGCTAAAGATCTTAAAGCCCCATAGTGTCATTTTATAGCACAGTCTAGTCACTGTTTCTTTCAGTTGATATGAAAATGCTGTGCATATCAAAAATTACCTTTAAAGAAGTTAGATTTTGCATCAAAGGTGCATGTTGCACCTTGAAACTGGCCTCTGTCTCTTTAAGAAGTTGCTATTCGTTCCAACACTTCCTCTCCAGTACCTCATGTCAACAATGCTTCCCCTCACTGTCCATTGATGCCATTTACAGTTGTTTTTTTTTAGCATTAGACTGAGAAGTATTTCCTATGATGAGCTCAGCAGACGTGCAGGTCCAACAAGTGTTTGCTGACTGCTGCTGCTGCCTCGAGTCTGGAGGAGCTACATGGGGGAGGAAGAAGGAAAGAGTTCACTGTGTGCGAGAGATGGGCTGAGGACTGCAGGGCTAAGTAGGAGATTTGTTTAAATAAACGGCACATTTTATGAATTTAGACACTTGATTGTGGATAAAATGGAAATTTTGACACATAATTTGACCCTGTAGAAGAGAAAGCATAGAGAAACTTCACTTATTATACATTTTGATGCTGGAGATCTGTCTGACTGCACTTGCTTCACACGGTCTTAATTCTATTTTTATTACAGTTTAGTTCATATCTGATTGTGGTAATGAGGTAATTCTCACTGTGAGGCTCTTTAGACACAAAGAGGAACCATAAAGTTTCTGTCTGTTCTCACAACCTAGAAACCAGAAAAAACAAAAACATCTCCATAAACAGACAGTGTGAGCATACTATCACTGTTGGACAGAAAACTTTACATAGAAAATTCAAATTTTTCAACAACAAAAAACATATAGAAAAAATAAATCAAATGAAAAAAAAATAGAAAAAGAAAATGAACTGATTTGAACCAGATAAAATTTTAAACCCTATTATTATTCTCAGCTTCATTCTCTACATTCATGGATCCACCAGACCTTGATGATCCAGGGATGGTGGATCATCAAGGTCATAATCTGGGTCAGATATTTAAGGTTAAATGCAGCCCCGGCTCCAGACGAGTTTAATTGGAGGCTGGAGGGGATCTGCTTATTTTGGGGGGGCAAAATGAATCTACATATCTATAATAATATTACACATGCAAAAGAAAAAGGTACAGAGCAGTAAAACTACTCTTATATGTACCTTTTTTTCCCTTAAAGGTTATTCAAGTGAATGCAACAAGTACTACCCACTTTTCAACATAGACAACATCAGTAGCCTACAGGCTACTTGTTAACAAGCTTAAGGTTCTGTATTAGCATTAGCTAGTCATCTCTTGGCTAACATTACCTGCATCCAACAGCTTTACTCAACTCAGTCAGTTAGTTTGGGGGAAAAACTGTGAAAAGTTCTTTATGCTTTGCTGCCATGATTCAAACACAAACCTGAGCAGCTCTGCACAGCAGCAGCAGGTCTCCTTCACTGCCACAGGTGTAAACCCAGCGCGAGCGGCTCAGCGTTCATGTTGCGTTTGAAGGCGGCTCGGAAAAACAGGTTACTACGTGTTAGCAAAGGATTAAACAGTTTTAACTGCTGACAAAAGTGACAGAAGGCACAGATATGGGAAGTGCGGAAGCCCCTACTGTATCAAATCGAAATAGGGATAACAGAGAGTTGGCAACTCTGAGGTATAAACAATAAACAGCTTCCAGTCCAGGAGGGGAATGGCTGACTCTGTGGGCAGGCAATGTCCGACCATGCAGCGGCCTGGTTGAACGCCTTGCTGCAGCTCAACTAACTCTTGTTGGTTTCACTTAGCCTCTGACACACACACACATACACACACACACACACACACACACACACAC